GACAACTGGTTATTTTGCTGTTTGGGTGGTGAATTCTGGATTGTCTATAAATTCATGTGGATGTGTCGACGCTCGGCAGCACTCAGACTGAATTATGTGCAGCTGCGTCAGAGCTGGAGCAGATGGTATCAGGACTGTGAACTTTCTGGCAGCAACCATGAAGGTGGGAATAATCTCTGAGAAACTGAAAGCTCGACTTTCGGCGTAAATAACCAATTCGGCTGTTTGGAGTCACCGTCTCTGTTCTAGCGAGACTTTAAAAGGCAGAAACAGCAGTTTAGTTCTGCCTGACCCAGACTGTGGACCTGGACCTGGCCTTCAAGGCGGACTATCTCAACTCCTCCTGGAATGTTTTGCAAAAACAAAGATGCTCTGTCTGTCTCCTCCCCCCCTCTCCCCCCTCTTCCCCAAGGCCGTGCACATGTGACAGAACCTCAGCTGAGCTGATGATGATAAACACCTCTTATCCGGACAATGGCTGAGGGGGCTCTGGTCTACGCTACGACCTTCCATTAAAACTCAGTGTCTTCACCGACCTCATACGTATCACGTCTGTTCATGTTGCTTTGCTGTGGTAGATCTTTTGATGCCTCACCCCGTGCCCTGTCCAGGACACGGGGTGAGAGATCTTTTTTTTACCGTCTCTCCTCGTGTTTTCTTCCCCTTTTCTCATCTAAGCCTAAAAGTAAAGGATAAGAGGCCGCGCTCTCAAAGAGCAGCAGCAGCTTCGTGCACTCCGCCCATCCTTCAGACGACTGTACGGACACACTCTCCTATCTCGGTACAACGATAATAAAACTTGTTCTGATTCTGAAAAGGCACAAAAAGCTTAAACTACCAGAAGGAAATGGAAGGATCTGAAATGAGCTAAATAAATGTGGAATTAGCTGAAAAAGCTTAAAATAGCATAAAACAGCCAAATAATAGCTGAAATAACTGAAACTAGCAGAAATAAGCTGAAAGGAGCATAACAAACTGAAATGAGCAGATTGAAGTTAAAAGGCTGAAAATATCAGAAATTATCACAAAAAACTTGAGTTTATCTGAAAACAGCTGAAATAAGCTGAAAAAGTAGCTGAAAAGACAGAACAAGCTTAAAATAGCTAAAGAAAGCCGAAAGAACACGTTTGCTGAAAGATGCAGAAATGAGCACAAACAAGTGGAAATTATCTGATTAAAAAGCAGAAATTAGAAAAAAAAAAAACAGCTGAAAAGTAGCTAAAAAGGCAGAAAGAAGCTGAATTTGCAAGAAGGAAGTGGAGAGAGCACATTTTTACTGCATTAGGCTAAAAAAGGATATATCTTAGATCTTTACCTACTATTTCTTTTGTTAAACTTTATATTTTTGCTATTGTTGAGTGTAACTGGGACCATGAGCACACAATGTGGTTCCACCTCATGTGGTGGACTGGTCAACTGGTGCGAATAAATAACTTGAATCTTGAAAAGTTGAAATGAGTGCAAAAAATGTAGAATTAGCTGAAAAGGCTAAAATTAGCATAAAACAGCTAAATAGTAGCTGAGATAGCACAAAAAGCTGAAGTTTGCAAAAATAGGCTGAAAGGAAGCTGAAATTAGCAGAAAGAATCTGAAAAGAGCACAAAACAGCTGAAGAAA